AAAACTCTTTAAGCTTCAAGCTCTCCTAAGCTCAACAGAATTAATTTATCATACACTGAGGTCGAGTTTGAACCTTAGTATGAATCGATCTATCTTACCCGAGGTCGAGTTCGAACATTAGCATGAATTAATTTATCTTACATCGAGGTCGAGTCCGAACCTTAGTACAAATTGCTTCATCTTACGCCGAGGTCGAGTTCAAACCTTAGTATGAATTGTTTTGTCTTAAGCCAAGGTTGATAGAACATGGGCCAAGGGCCCAGTTACTAGAGCTAAGGTTAGAAGGATACAAGAAGAGTTGGACCTCTTGAAGACTAGTGGGCTTGTTAAGCCCACTTAAAAGAACCAAGAGGAATGGGATGATCTTAAAGACCTTTTTCATATATTTTGTACATAGTCTTTTGTATAGGTTATTTTTGCCTTTGTATTTGTGAGGCACTTTACTTGCTTTTTCTAGTGTTTGTATATTGATTTTAAGGTAGGCTACTTGGAGAGTTTAACTCCATTTAACCTCCCTAGTTGATACATTCATTTTTTATTTTTTCAGTAGGGAAAAAGGGTTGGCATTTAGCAATGCTTGAGGGTGTGACTAGTAATTGGGCCAGGACTGGGCCTAGGCAAAATTTTATATATTGGACTCATTTTGCTCCTAATTTTTCATAGATTTGATTTAGGTAGGTCTCATCATCATTTGATGAACCTAACTAAACCAAATCAAATATTTTTGAATTAAATCAAGGAGCAAATTGAGTACTTGGCCGCCTAGCTTCATAAGTCTCTCTTTGGCCGAATTTCATGTCACCTTCTTCAAGTTTAGTAGCTTCTCCCCCAAGTTTCTAAACCTTGGTATGTTTGGCTGACCTTACCATGGTTCTTAAGTGAACCATGGTCAAGGTTAGCTTCTCCTACAAGTTTTAGAAACCATGGATGGTTAGCTACACCTTATCATGGTTCCTAGTGAACCATGGTTAAGGTTAGCTTTTCCTATAAGCTACCTCTCCCTATATATTTGTAAATCCCTCTCTTGTATTCACTTTTGGACATTTATGAGAAAAAGGATTCAGAATTCTCTCTCATTTTTCAAGAGTCAAAACTGTGAGAAACTTCTCTTAGTTTTCTCTCAAAGTTCCTTCTTTTAGAAGCTTGGTTCCTCAAGCTTCTTCACTTCTTTAAGAGGTGGCCGAACCTCCCTAGTTGCTTCTTCTCCATTGGAGTTTGCTTCACTTGGGGTAGAAGGTCTCAGCGGTCACCCCCGAACTCCACAACGAGTCTATATCCGACGATGCGCTCACATGATCCAACCGTGTCAAAGGGCGATCCTTGTCGAAGCGTTGAGCAATGTATTTACCCTTGTAATATTTTCTGCGGACCTTGGTGGGAGTCGGGGCAGAGGTCGCCTGCGTAGCAGTGGGGGCGTTCAGCCCTGGCACCTCCAAGCTCGGTGCCACCCAGACCTCGGCAGCACTTGGCTCAGGCCCCGCCTACAAAAGGCAAAAATTTTCTCTTAAGTCACAAAACAAGAAGACAGGCAGTATAGAAGTAAAATCACAAGGAAAGGCACAAACCTCGGCAGCAGGAGCAACCTCCTCAGCGAACACTTGGGAAACTCCCTCAGGTGGAGGACTCCCAGTGAGGTCGACTGCGTCGGCGTCAGCAGCCTTCGAAGTCACCTCCTCCGCATCTCGAGGGGCAAAGGTCCCCCTGACCTCCTTCTCCCCCCTCTTTCTTTTTCGGCAGGTCTCTAAGGGGGCAATCTCCTCCTCTTGAGGCTCAGGGACCTTGATCTCGGCAACGTTATAGCGAGACTTCAACTTGCGCCACTTGCTCCTTCCCATTATGCCTACAAGTACAAAAGCCAAATACATCAATAAAAGAAAATTTTACGAACCCTAACAACTAAAAAAGACGAGATACTCACTCTCTAGACCCCTCTTCTTGTACGCCGAGCTAGCAAACGACAAAACAAGCTTGCAATCCAAGGGACAAGGAAGCGCTTCTAGGTCTTTAATGGCAGCAGCATCCGAGGTCGACAATTCAAGGTTGGCCGACCGATTAAACCTGACCGGAGCCTGCTGCCAGTAGAGTGGGAACCTTGGCAATCCGCCGAAGTGGAATACCTCATCCTCTAGTGGGTCGACCTCCTTGGGCAGAACCCGGAAGAACTCTTGTTTGAAATTAGACTGGGAGTAAAGAGAAAACAGTCCCCCAGCCTTAACACATTCAAAGACACCCAACCATAGGGAGGTACGCCCAACTTCAGTTGGTAAAAGTGAAGAAAAATAGGAAGGGACAACCCTATCCCTAGGGTCGAGCATAGGACCTGAAAAACCCTCAAAAAACCCCAACTATTGGGGTGCAACTAGCAAGGAGCCGAGTTGACGAAATTCAAAAAATCGCACTCAAATTGGGTAAAGGGAAGGCTTACGCCTAAATCCCTAAAGAAACACTGGTACATGTAAAAGAAGGGAGGGTTAGAGGTACACCCCATATATACACGCTCACCGGGCTGACAAGGTTCAAGCCCACTAGTGGAAAAAAGGCTTTTAAAATCGGTTATTTTTTACTTTTAAAATCGGTTGTGGAACCGATTTTAAAAGAGCCGATTTAAAAAAGGTGAACTTTTAAAATCGGTTATTAACCGATTTTAAAAGTAGACTTTTAAAATCGGTTATCTTATAACCGATCTTAAAAGTCTTGACTTTTAAGATCGGTTGTTTCATAACCGATCTTAAAAGTTAGACTTTTAAAATCGGTTGTTTCATAACCGATTTTAAAAGTCAAGACTTTTAAGATCGGTTGTTTTATAACCGATCTTAAAAGTAGTGATTTTTTTTTGTACAAGAGAGGGATTTACAAATATATAGGGAGAGGTAGCTTCTAGGAGAAGCTAACCCTAACCATGGTTCACTAGGAACCATGGTAAGGTGTAGCTAACCATCCATGGTTTCTAAAACTTGTAGGAGAAGCTAACCTTGACCATGGTTCACTTAAGAACCATGGTAAGGTCAGCCAAACCTACCAAGGTTTAGAAACTTGGAGGAAAAGCTACTAAACCTGAAGAAGGTGACTTGAAATTTGGCCAAAGAGAGACTTATGAAGCTAGGCGGCCAAGTACTCAATTTGCTCCTTGATTTAATTCAAAAATATTTGATTTGGTTTAGTTAGGTTCATCAAATGATGATGAGACCTAGCTAAATCAAATCTATGAAAAATTAGGAGCAAAATGAGTCCAATATGTAAAATTTTGCCTAGGCCCAGTCCTGGCCCAATTACTAGTCACACCCTCAAGCATTGCTAAATGCCACCCCTTTTTCCCTACTGAAAAAATACAAAATGAATGTATCAACTAGGGAGGTTAAATGGAGTTAAACTCTCCAAGTAGCCTACCTTAAAATCAATATACAAACACTAGAAAAAGCAAGTAAAGTGTCTCACAAATACAAAAGCGAAAATAACCTATACAAATGACTATGTACAAACTATACAATATTCACAAGTAGAACTAGGCCTTCTCTTTATGATAGAGTAGTCCAAGTGAAGAATACCTTGGGCTTAATAAGCTCACTAGTCTTCAAGAGGTCCAACTCTTCTTGTATCCTTCTAACCATAGCTCTAGTAACTGGGCCCTTGGCCCATGGTCTATCATCCCCTCCCTCTTGAGAAGGATTTGTCCTCAAATCTGTAGGTTCATCTTCCTCATCATAACCTGCAAAAGGAATAAGATCACTCACATTAAACGTGTTGCTTACTCCATAATCACTGGGAAGAACTAACTTGTAGGCATTATCATTGATTCTTTGGAGGACCTGAAAGGGACCATCTCCTCTAGGGTTGAGTTTAGACTTCCTTTGAGAAGGAAA